GGACTGGCAATTGACGCGAAGACTTCCATCACGCGAATCCACCGTGAAACGTATGGTAATGCGAGGAATCGATCCAGCTAATATATTATAACGCTTCGAGTCGGGTTTAACGTTATACCGGCGTTGCACGGTACGTACATAGGTATAACCGCGTGTAGGCGACGCACGCGTGCGCCGCGTCTCCTCTTTAAACGCTAATTGCCCTTCTCCCGTTTATCCGGCCGGACGACGCCGCGTAATTCGAGGATTTTTCGTTTCCACGGGAAATTCGGCCAGCGTTGGCTATCCATCCCCGTTCGTCGATCTCGATGAACATTGTCAACGCGTCCGAGCGCGATCGCTATTTCGCTGATTCATTCGCCGCGGTATCGAGCGTGGAAACGAGCGGCTCGACGTTTCGGTAATTAGTCGAGTTAAAGGAAATTTCCATAACAATGTAAGAATTATGATGTTAAATCGAACCGCTATAATTCCCGTAGATCACTGGACACGGTGTGTGCGGGAGCGCCGCGGTAGCGAACGTTTTGAATTATTATAACCGAGCTCGATAGGACGAATCTATTTAACGGGTAATCCCTCATACCCGCGGCCGTCCAGCGTCCCTCGTGTCCACGCGTGAGCGTTACCAAAACAAACCGAACGCGCGTCGCGACGCACTCCGGACCGCGAATTCCGAAAATAAATCCGCCAACGTGTCCGCCATATTTTCAATTATTACGTTTCGAAACGCGCTCGCCGAGGCCCAAGTCGCGTCACCGTTTTCCCATCGGCCATTTTTCCCCCTGTGATTCCGCGGCTGAAATTCCCGCAACGTAATATCGACTTTGAATCCAACGAGCACTCCTTGTCCGGCGAATTGCATCGTTTGATATCGAACTTGAGTCCGAGGTCGTAAAATAAACGCGAAATCGTACGTGCATGTACGCGCGCGTGTGTACGCGTTTGAATAAAAATGCCGCAGAGTCGTATCTCCTCTCTAGCGATTTCGGAAACGCAATGCGGTTCTGAAATAAACGTTTCATTCGTCGCTGCTAATTTTCTCCCGTTACACGGCGTTCTCTCGTTACGATCCGCTTCTGGGCGCAATTTCGCAACTACGAGTAACAATTGCGCCCGGTAACCGGAAAAAAGAGGAGCGTCGGCCGATTGTCCACGTTTCGCGAGTAATTCCCTCGGTCAGGATAAATCGGATAGTTTCTGAGTAGGATCTCGCATACGCGTGCGGTTGCGTGTGCGAGGCGGCTGGAAATTAACTCGATTAAAATTGCGGCCAGCATGCGCCGCCTCCGACATCCCGCAATTTCTCCACCTCTCTATGACTCGTGCCTGTCATTCCCCATCTTTCTTCCCTATTTCCTTCTCCCCGCTCCGCTTCTCACCCCTTTCTCGCAAGCATTCGTAACAGCGAGGACGATTATCCGGACGGTTTAAATAGCGAACGTACAGAAATCGGAAGCGTACAAACGAACGCACCGGCGTGGAGACGCTTGGAATGGCGCGTGTAACACGGGCGAGAAAGTTTCGCGACTTTTCCCTCGGCAGTCGCGAGTGGAAAAATCGCGGAATTAACGGGTAACGGCGCGAAGGAAACGAAAACGCGAAACGCGGTTACTTTCGCGAAGGGATGGGGCGCGAGATTGTTCTTGTACTCGTTGTACGTGCCGACTTCGGGTAATTCAGGCCCAATTTCCTCCCCGCAATGACCACTCGTAATCCCGTAGAGCGAATACAACAGGAACGACACGGGGAAACGAAGCGTGCTCGTATCAAACAGCGGAATCCCTCTGAGCGTTTCACTTTTCGTTTCACTCTGATTTTCCGACTCCGAAAATAGCTTCGCTTCGAAACGTTTATAAAGAGGAATCGGCTTAAAGCGTTTTCTAAATTTATTTCGGGATGCAGCTTAAAGCGGAGGAATTTCGCGTGTTCTCGCGGTAACGAGACGGCCTTGCAGAGTTTCATCCCCTGGCGACGAGGAAATTTCTCAAGCCGCATAGGACATAGGTTTGCGGTGTTTGAAATTGAACGACACTCGAGGTGCTGCGAAGCTGCGCGCGACTAAATTGCCCGACAGCTTGCAACAGAGAGAATTGAATGGCCATCGCTGGTAACGGTGGATACGCGTAAAGCGAGGTAGCCTCGGATATATGCGCAGCTATGCTGCATAGGGGTGCCTATTTTCCAGCCAGCCCTGAAATTATCGGCGCGGTCTGAGCGAGGTCCATTGATTACCACTGGTAATTGCCATTACAACCCCCATCTACCGGCACCCCTTCGCTCTCCTCGGCACTCGACCCGCCTCCGTCTCTTCCACCCTACCCCGCCAAGGTCTGGGTACTCTCTGTATCGGCATTGAAAGTCAACCGTTTTATAGGCAGAGCGTAGCAACCTATTCGCTCACAGACCCGCGCTACTTCCCATCGTTCTTCCATTCTCCGATCTGCTCGCTCTTCTACTCCACTACTGCGAACCGCGATCTTTATTCCGACAACCGGTTCTGCAAAGTTCATCCAGCCGTTTCACAGAAAGATAGGCAGCCGGTTGCCCGTTCGCTTTTTTTTACCCCCCTCCGTGCTTTTTCAATTTCGAGAAGGCAGCTCACGTATGCCCGTGATTCTCGAGCTACGTTTAATCCCTCTCGTATAGCTAATCGAATGAAGCGTACGATTGAATCGGTTAATTGGACTAGCAGAGAGATCGATCTTAATTTCTCTCGATGAAAAATTCTTACCCGAATCCCCGGTTATCCTCGCTGTCTGTATTTCCCTTCGCAGTCGCGGATTAATCTTAGCCTAGCGTCTTTGAGCGACGGGGATTCGCGTGGTTCGCGCACGAGACGAGTCTAATTTCCATACGACACCTGGAATCCGAGTGTCGAGCAAGGAGCAAGCGCGAATTCGACGCCCGTTCGAGGGATAAAATCGCGATCAATCAATTGATTGGCGCGCTGACACGCGCGGCCAGAGTGAACGGCGCACTATTTTCATCAATATCGGCAATTATGGATTGAAAAGCGACCATAAATCCTCGTGAATACTTTATACGCGCATACCGGTATCTAGGCAGCGCAGGCCGGGGCAGGGATAAAATTTCATTGCGGTCATAGGATCGAGTTTTCGATGGAGTTGCCAGGAAATTGAATTTACCGAAACTCACAGCGCTTGATTAAGCTGCTTTACAATCTGTCCATTGACTTCCCCGCGAGTCAGTCTCCATTCCGAAGAATCTCCAGCGTCCGTGATTTCGCGCTACGGTTAAATTTATATCGTCGAGATTCGCAAACTTTCCATCCAGGCGATCGGGATATCGCTGAAAATCGCGAGCTTGGTATTTCGTAATTGCAAAGATAGAAAAAGGCAAAATCAAGAAACGCGTTAACCCTTTGACTGAAATCACGTGTTTCGCTCAAGACACCACGGGAATATCTTTCAATGCACCGTTGGATGCAAGATTTGTTCTAATATTTTTTTTCATCGATGTTGCAATAAAATATTCCAATCGTTGACAGGAGAAATCGTGGCCGGTCATTTGTGACCAACGTGACAATCGAAGCGTTAACGCCGTTTCTATTCCACGCGAAACCGGTACAAAGTTCCTCGTAATTTTCGTCGGGATGCATTATCCGGTACCGAGGTTACTCGATAAGATCGACAGCGGGAAGAATTCGGGAATTTCGGCGGAGAAATGCAGAAATTAGAAGCCGCTTGAACGATTTTCGGAAACGCGGCGCCGAGGCGAGTATAAGGGATTTAGAGGAATACGTTCGGAGGTTGGAGGACGTAACATTAAGAACGCGGCGAGGTAGTTTTCGTTTTAATTTGCAGTTTTTCGATCAGAATATACGATGTATGGAGTCACGGTGCGAAACGAGTGGAAGGAGCTTAGAGCGAATATATCTCGAACGCTTGCTCGGCGAGAACCGTAACGTTATTTCGGATTTGGCGCAGTTTACGACAAGGCTCGATCGTTCCGCGTAGTTTTTCTGTCGCGACATCGCAGAATCGAATAACCGTTTCTATATCCGCTTAAAGCAATTTTTTGAGTGGCCGGCGATCTTGGGATCGATCGCGGAAGCAGTACCCGGCCGTTCTGCGAAATCCGCGATGATCGTTTCGCAGGCTACCAGATATGTCTCTCTCCTTTTTTTCTTTTTTTTTTTATTCTTTCTCTCTCTCTCTCTTTTTTTTTTATTTCCTCGTTGACATCCAGCGAAACGAACTCCCGGGGAAAAAATCGAATATTGCTATTCCAGGCCGCACATTTTTGGCCCGGGATAACGTCGATATATACGCGATACGATGCAACAATATCGGCTGACTATTCCCGGAGTCATAGCAAAATCACGCGAAAACAAACACGTCCCGTTGGCTATAGGGATCTTCCGCGTTCGCGAATGATCGGAATTCATTTGGAATCGTTAACGATTATGGTCTCCGGGACATACTAAAGCGATACGGCACGGTACTTCGATACGCGAAGCAATCGTGGCAAAGGTGTATAAGCTTCTCCGGGGGGAACGACGCATCGGTTAAACAGGTTGATAGCGGCAGGGGCGGGGGACAGGTAGGTAGGAGGAGGAATAAACGTAGGTGTGGCTCGCCGTAACCTCGCTGATAAAGCATCGAATACGTTGGACGTATGCAGCTAACTTGCAAAATAACGAAAAAGCGAGAGAAATATCCAGGTTGGTTTATCCGACTCCGGCCGGGGAACGAATATTCCAGGAAAAAATATCGTTCCGCTTAATCCGTAAACGATCATACCTACACGCGAGTCGATGGTATACACGGGAACCACGGCTGCAGCGAATTCTTCGTGAGAGTGCCCCTAACTTTCCGCTGTCCGAAAGAGGCTAACCGCGCGATAGCGTGACGATCGGTTCGAAGAAGTTTCGCCTTTGTTTCCCCAGAGGGGGTGCGACCGTCGATAAACCCCCGACTCGCCCCGCTGCTCAGCCTTTAAACACCCTCGTCCTGATTATGAATCTCTGTCTGTTCCAGTGCCACCGGAACAACCGACTATCTTGGATCAGTGGGGCAAGATAGTAAACGGAACAGCGGGACCCTACGAGGAGGGTGATACTCCCTCCCTCACGTGTCGCGTCACCGGCGGTAAGTCTTGCCAACTATTCGCGCGATACGCAAACGTGGCGAGTATTCTCCAGCCGACAAACGGGCCAAACCGTGGGGACGTTCCTGGGAACCCGGGAATAACTTCGGACTCGCCTACCGGCCCAGAACTTTCCACTCCCTGGATACACCTAGAGCCGACTCCGCTTCCGAAGGATCCCCTGGTTGGGATCTCTCGGCTTGTCAGCCAAACTCGTAATTTCCCGCCTTACGAACCAGGTTTAAACGCGGATCTTCGACACCGTGTCGATATTTGCTCGGTCGAAGAGGAAAGTCCGACTTTGGCGACTCGGCGACGAAGTCGGGACAAAGCCGGACTCGTTTTCCTTCGCGAATCTTATCCCCGGCGATCGAAGATTCACCGGTGTGTTTCGTGGATCCGCTGTTTAGCTCGTCGCGAGATCGCGGGGGAGGGGAGGAAGTTCGATCGGGAAACGTTGAAAGGAAATGAAGAATGGCGGTGCGATAGACGGGGGGAGGGTAGCAAGGGCGGTAGGAAGGGCTGGCGGAGTCACCGGTGTCGCCAGTTATTAGATCAGGCAACTTTTTATCGACGAAGGGAGCTAAGTGAAAAGTTCTACGCCGAGAAGAAGGCGGTAGGAGAGGAAGTCCTTGCCGAGGAGGCAGGTAGCACTGGCGGCGAAGGGTGCGGCGAAGCATGGGGGGGGGGGAGAAGCAGAGGGTACGGAGGATCAAGCGTTCTGAAGTGGAACGGGAGAGGAAGCACCAAACTACCGAGGTTCCGGTGTTTACTTTGGCAACTGGATCTAAATTTCTGTTTATAACTGCGGCAACTTCTTCGGCTGCCTTAAAAGATTATTTCATCCCCCCTGCCTCTGCAGCCACTTTTCCCTCTTGCCCGTGCCCGGGCTTCCTCCCAGACCGGCGGACGCTTTCCTGTCATTCGGCCGCGATTAAATGCGGTTACCGCGCGGCTGGCCGGGGATTCTTGCACGATCGCGAATCGCCCGAGAATCCCGACGAGGACGCGAAAATATCGTTTCGCCCGATACGTCGTAAACTGGATAACTATGGTACAAATACAGAAGGTGTACGATGACCGTTCGATACTCATCGTCGATCCCGAAGCTCGATGAATACATCGAAATGCGAAGCCAGGAATACTGCCGTATGCAGATTCGATGGGAATTGCATCGACGCTGCGCATCGATCATACGCACTGCGGCGTATAAATTGAATATCGAGAAGATCGGCTTATCCTTAACAATACGCCAGCGGAACGGTTGCGAACGATCCCGGACAAACGGGGCCTAGAATTTTCATTTAATTGTAAATCATACTTGAACAGGGGGTCGAAGATCGTCCATCTCGGCGATTCCCTTTCGCGTCCAATATCTCATCCGACATTTTTATTTCATTTATTTATTTATCCGTCCTTTCTCCTTTTTTCGCCGTTTTGCCCCCGTCGCGTCGCTAAAGCATGCGAAATTTATACTTGAACCCGGACGAGTGTATCGGTTGCCGATATCGCTTCCATCCGTGACACAAAGCCATCCGTTGAAATTTCGCGATTCCGGTGTTTGTTTGATTTCCAGCGACAAACTTTTCCACGCTCTCTGTCGGTTCCGCTCGTCTATTTGCCTCGCTCCCACGGCCATCGCGATCGCGCCGTCTCGCTTCTTAACCAGGCCAGGGTAGCCGAGGCTCGCGATAAGTTTCTGCCGCCATTTCTGTCCTCGCGGCATGCCCGCAAAGATTTGCAATTCAATCGAAAGGCCGAGGGGGGTCGGGAACGCTGTGGCCGCCAATGCGAAATTACGCCCGGGTATACTTTACCGATTAAATGTTAATGCGCGCGGCCCCGACTTTCGTCCGCTCCCTCTCGCTGTCGCGCCGCGACGCAAGATCCAGGGAAATCGCCGATACAGGTTATTTACGCGGAAAAAACCATCCCGGCGGTGAACGATACCACGATAGATCCGATTATTCAAACGAGACGTCGTATAGCCGCGATCTTTTCAGGGTCGTAAAAAATTTGCCGACCGCGCGTTTTATTGCCAGCTTATTCGCCGCATCTATATAGGCACTTTGTTTGGACATTGCGCAATTCGATATCGAATTTTCCGCGACAGCCTTTTCGCGGCCGATTCCGCCACGGCGAAATCGGAGAAACTTTGGCGCCCGACAGAGGGCGGGAAAAACGAAAACCGTTATCCCGGTGCTGAATAATCGGTGACTTTATTCGCCTTCCGGTTGGCTGTCCTTCCTCACGGGCGTTGCGATTTCGGGGGAGAAACCGCATTTGCCTTTTACCACGGCGCGGTTGTCTAATCTTCGGGTAGAGCCGACGGAAACGAGCCGACTGGAAATTCGAGAGCGGAAACCACGGTTCGCTCTCGCGATTCTTCTTCCGGTTCCGCGGCGAGATCCCGCAGCCGCGACGCAACGACGCGGTAAAAACGCGTCACGTCCTCTCTTCGACGTTCGTTCCCGTTGCTCCTCCTCGTTGGTCATTTTCGCCGCGGAACGGGGTCGTTTAAAACGAAAAAACCTGACGCGGACACCCCGCGTTAATTACACGAGACACGCGTTAATACGCGGGGCTTTATCTTTCTCGCGGCGAACGTTAAATATTTCCCTCGGTTTTCCGCGCCGCTCCGCCATCAGCGATTAAGCGTAATTGGTGGACGCGAGGATTTCCCGTAAATGAGATTCGCGTTAATGCCGAAACGAAGAAGCGGCAAAAATTTCGCTGACCCGTGTCGCAATGTTGCTGGTCGGGTGGCGATCGACGATCCCCCGGTATCGGTTCCAGGGCAAAGATCGCGTTCGTTATCGCGTGGGGGGTAAGACGCGAGGTAGGACGGGGTTGTTAACGTTTAACCGTGGCCCGTCTCGTCCTCGTGCATCCATAGCCCTCTCTCGACCGCTCTATTATACGCGATTTACAACTAAGCCTAACTTCCTCCACGGCATTCCGTGTTATCTATAATTTATGGCAATAGCGGTGAGAAAATTTTACGACTCGGCCCGCTTGCAGGATTTATCGCCAATTACTCGACTTCGTGCCCGGAAAGAATCGAGGGTCCTACTTCGAGGGTGTATACGCGCGCGAACGCCAGCTTTTCTTCCCCTATTTCTTCTAGCCCTATCTCGCTCCCTAACGCTCCACGCCGACTCCCCAACCCTTCCCCCAGCCCCCTTTTTCCTCGGCCGACGACGTACGTATACGTATCTATCTAACCTAACGCGAAGAGAGATCCGCTTTGTCGGTGCCCGAGAAAACTCGATGCTCGGGAAATCATTTTCCCACCTTATTGGCAGGGCCGATCCTCGTTTTGAATCTCTTTCCCCCCTGATCATAGAGAGTGGACGTATTACTGCAACCTCCGAGGCAACGTTCTCGTTTATTGCAGCCCTCGAATCCAATGCATCGGTCTCCTCTGCTCTCCCGCTTTTCGCCAATCCCCTTCCGGCATCGCCCAAACGAATTCCTTTGAGACGTTGCACGAGCACGAGAAAACGATGAAAGGAAGGTCAAGGCGAACGGGAGCGACTTCTCCGCGAAAGCGGGTCTCCCTGCCGTCTCGCGTCTAGCGGGTCCCTCGCGGTAGACGTAGAATCGGACGGCCATTAATTTCGGGATCGAAATTCGTCCCTGGATTCTGACCACGTTTTCGCGATCGTAAAATTTAAAGCTCGGATATTTTATCCCCTGTCGGCCGACCGGTCGTATCTGGGCAACGCAACAAGCCAGTTTACTCGGATAATCGTCTTCCGGAGTGCCGGGAACACCGTTCCGCCCCTTTTCTTCGTCTTCCTTCTTTCTCTCGCGTCATCGAGCGCGCGATGCACTTTGCCTATTTCCCCGGGGTGCGCGCATAATGTCGCGGGACCGCGATCTATCCGTGTCGTATTGGCCGAGTGCGGGGAATATTTATTTTTCAATCCACCCCCGCGAAACCGGAAACTCGCGGCGCCATAAAAGATATTAAAAATTATTCGAGAGCAGAGCGGACAATGTTCCGTCGCCGTTCGCAAAGCGAGTTAAATTTCCTCGTATCGGCATTGGGGCCCCGCCGCCATATATCTGTCGCCCTTTGTCCATTAAAAATATTACGAAATTTCGCCGGGACATCGCGGATTCGGCCTCTGGCCGCGTTTCCTCGTCCTCCGCCACTCGGACAACTGCAACTCCTGCGACGCGCCATATATCCCGTTATTCCGTTTCCCGGAACGAACCGTTTCGAATGGAAACTCGAGGCTTCCGCCTGTAAACATCTGCGCGTAGCGAGTTTTATTCCGTCGGGGTCGGAGCGGACGAACGAATTAATCAACGCGGAGAGTCCCGACGTATATTCGTGAAAGGGAGAGAACGGAGACAGTAGGTTGAGGTTATCGACGCTTGCTCGATAATCCCGAATCGAGAGGTCCTGAATCAAGGTGGCGATGAAACGCAGGGGACGACGGGAGTGCAAGGTTGAATAAAGGGAGCAGAGTCGACGAAGGAGGAACTCTGGCAAGGATCTCGAGTCTCAGCGGCTGGTATTTGCCTTAAGCGGAGTTCGAACCGACGGTAAACTTGTTAGATGTGGGCGAATAGCTGTGGACCGGTCTTAATCCTGCGAGATATCGTCCGGTATCCGCGGATTAAAATCCGCACTTTAGTGCCCCCTGCCGCGCAGATAGCGGCGGTGTTGTCGTCGTTTTAAGGGAGCCCTCGGTTTGGGAGGGAGTTCGGATATAGTCCGGCAGTTAAAGTCAACGCCAGGGGCGTACCGAAGCCATTCCAAGACCTAACCCAGACCGGGGCTAAAGCCAGACAACCTAGTCCTTCTCTCCCTTTCCGCGGCCACGCAACCACGCTACGACCTAGCTCTCGCCCTTAAGCACTCGTGCAAACGACCTCACGGCCGAGCTTACGAATTAACTGGCCGAGCTCTATCCTGTCTTCGTGACCGTATTCCGTCTCCTTGAAAAATCTCCCACCTCACAGGCTTTTTCGTTCCGCGATCCGAAACTTAACGACTCGCCGGATAGCGCACCGAGTCTGACTCGGGTCGACGATGAAATTTTCCCAGGCGACGACTGAATTCCAACCTCTCTCGTCTCTCCTTTCTCCCTTTCTCCTTTTCTCCCTTTCTCTCCCTTGTTATTTTTTCATTTTTCTCCGTGACGCGATCGAGAAGGAGGAAAGGGTGGAGCGCGGAAGGACGGAAAGAACGAGACGGTTAAAACGCAATCTAGTTCGACGAGCATCGTGAATAACAATGACGCCGAGTTAATCTAAGCCAGCTTCCATCGGAGATCAAGCTTGCAATTTTAAGTGTCGCGGGGATGTTGCGTCCGGGCCTGATTAAATTGCGATTCCTGGGTCGTCGTGGCATCGTGAATAACAATGAAACGGGGAACGCGAGCTGGGCTATCGCGGCGCCAGGGCTACTACTTCCGGTGCCTGTTCCCCTAACCGAAGAATTTCCACGCCCGATAGACGCACCGCGGTTTTTCTCGCTTTATGATTTCTCACCCATTACCGGCGGCATACCTGCTTCTTATAACGCTCGTATATCACCCCGCGCCATTTTATCACCTTAACCGGCAGCTTTTCCAACAAAAATATGCATCTAGCCACGGAACCGCGTATTATTCGCCAGAGATATGTAAATCCGTGATATAATACGGAGTCTATCCACGGAACATTCCGTCGAATCGAGAACCCGATACGGTATGCCTTCGCTACCCTCCTCTTCCAACCATTTATTTCCGATAAACGCTACTTTCGCGAAGCACGTAGATCGCGAAGGGTTACCGGTTAAAGAGATCGAAGAAACGCCCGGCGAGCCCTTATTTATCATCCGAGCCCTATACCCATACCGTACGCGAAAAATTCCGGCTCGATTCTCGCCGAGCACGCGATCGATTCCATCTCGCGATACGTATACGCTGCCATTTACCGCGAGATCGGTGTAGTCTCGCATTCGATACTTTGGTCGCTTTCATCCGTTCTTCCGTTTGTCCGTGCTTCTATAATTGATATTCATCGATCTGCCGGAGAAACTATAACGCGGCCGGTTATCGAGGCAACCTGCGCGCCGCGACGGCCACCCCGAGCCGACGCGAAGTCTGCCAGGTTTTGTCTGAAGTACCGCATCCAAAACTCCGGGGTATCGGCTAATTTAAAAGTTCCCGGGAACTCATCTAGCCTTTAGTAGCTCCGTCGAAGCTCGTCCCAGCCCTCTGTACACGATTCCCCTGTCCACTACTACTCGCGTTCCTCTCCCCATCTCGCCGTCTCGCTGTCTGGCCAGCTTCGCCCTGGCTACGGATATTCGCCCCGTTTCTCCGACCCCGCCAGTCGAAACCCGTTCCGAGTCTTCCTCCACCCTCGAAAATCACTTTTCACCGGTCGTTACGGCCCCCTGCAAGGGGCCCCGCCGCGATTTCCTCGACTTTCGCGCGCCACGGCCTGGTGTTTTCTGCTCGCCGTTTCGTAAATCTTCGCACTTCGGGCACTCGTTCCGATTCGATCGAGCCGTTCGTCGAGTCGTTACCCGGTCGAACGTTTCGCCGAAACGAACGCGAGAACGGAGTTTCCGTATCCGTTTCCGTGTCCGTTTCCGCTTCCGCTTCCGCTTTCGCGGCGGGACAGCGGCGAATAAAAATTACGGGCTCTAAATCTCGCCGCGAGACGTTTCTCCTCGTTCTTCACGGTTCGTTAATTCGTGCTTTGCAGGCAAGCCGGAACCCATGGTTCGGTGGCTCGTCAATGGTCAGGTGAAAGACGAGGAGTACGAGAAGAACGCCGGCGACGTCATCGAGAACAGGTAAGGTCTCCGTGCCGTTTCCGCTTCTTTTCCCCGTGGAGCGAGATTTCGCGTGGCAGATGGAGCCGGTTTAATTAGAAATCCATCGGGATTAATGGATCTCTGTCGATAGGCTGACACTGCAGCCCATCACGAGGACGGCGCTCGGGGCGAATTTCACGTGCCAGGCGAGAAACACGGACCTGATCGAGCCAAAGGAAGCCACGATTTCCTTGGATCTTAATCGTGAGTAACAATTATCCGGTATTTTTCTCCCATCCCTCCTCCACGGACCATCGGATCCGTGGAGCGAGAGGGGTGGGTGGTAGGCAGCGGACAGGGTGGATAGGATCGGATTGCCCGGGGTTGAGGGCCATTCGCCATAGGCGATGGCGGATCGTCGTTAAAAGAGGAATGAAATAAAGACAAGAAGTAGATACAAATTCTTATCGCGTGGCCAACAAATCAGAAGCCTCACCCCGAGCCTATCTTGTCCCGCATTAACGATAACATCTACGAGACAGCAAAAGTGGGCCAACATCCTTTGCTCCCTCGCCGCTGTGAATCGCCTTTAAGGGAAGATAAGGGAAGATAAGACGAGAAATATATTAAATCCTGCCTCGAGCCCCACCTGGCTCATCCATCTCTCTCTCTCTCTCTCTCTCGTTGGCCGAAGGAAACCGAAGAACCATGAAAGCGAGGTAACCTCGAGCTTTCTGAAAATTAGAATTCTTCGTTAACTCGCGACCGCCCAATAACCTGGAACGACGAAATACTAATTTCGAGAGTAAACTGAAAAATTCATAGATCAATTATCTACCCCGACGCTGCGAGGCTGGCGTCGTTACCGCAACGAGGGAGGAACACTCGCACGAGGGCGGATACGCCTAAAGGAAATTTCGTTCCGTCCTATCACCGACTCTCCTTCCATCCTATCAGCTCGACGAATAAACGTTCGACGACGAGATCCCGCGAAATATTTACCGGCTCTACTTCCCCGTTTCGTCCCTGTCCATTTCCACGAGGTTCGTCGTGTCCGGAAGCTGACTTCCCGCGAAAAGGAAAACACCGACGACGGTAACGACGATCGCAACCACCACCACCACCACCACCACCACCGCCGCCACCACCACTGTGATTGATCGGTACCGAATGATCGGTGCTTCCGAAAGTCAGGAAATTTTCGGCCAAGCGAACGACGAAATTGAAGACCCGTTATTGGTGAACGAGAACACCCATCATAGCGACGAGCGGAAAAAAAAAATTCTGCGCTTCGTGCGCAGAGATAACGAAACGAACGGTGAACGAGAGAGGTGAGAGAGAGGTGGAGAGGGTGCGACAAAGAGGGAAAGATGGCGTAGGCGCGCGAGAGGGTGCGAGACAGAGAGGCAGGGACGAAACGAAGAGGGAAAAGGGAGATTGATCGATGCCCGCTCTTTGATTTTCGCGACCTGCACCAAGTGACCATGCATCGAGCGTGTATTCATCTCATGGCTGGTGGAACAAAAAACGAAAGAGAAATTAAAAAAGCCCTGAACGGTGACGAGGCGAGCGGCGGCCGGGCTAGACGGCTGTCGGGGGTGCGGAGGATCGACGAGATTGCGGATAATCGAAAAGGCCGGTGCTTCCGGAAATCCGGCAAATCAAATATTTGCGTGCACGCGACCCGGTGTGCTGTTCGTCGAAAAATTTGTAATACAGCGCGACTCGCTCCGCTATCGGCCATATTTAGACCCTGTTCCGAGACCGCGATGCTCGTTATCGCGGGACCGAAACGTCCTTCTCGCGTTACCTGGTCAAACGAGCAGAAACGAAACGTCCGCGAGCAAAGAAGTACGAACGAACGAGAGAAGGACGAGAGAAAGAAAAGCAGAGGGGAAAAAATGTGGAAACTCATTATCGCGAGCAGCGTGGTCGGGCAGAGAGACGAAACAGTGGCGTGTAGCGTACGCAGCCACGGAAGCTGTTCTCGTAGTTTTCATATTTCACGCACGAACGGATCGTATCTGGCCGGTATTGGCCAATTGGATACTCGGATTTATCGTCCGTCAAAGCGATCGTCGCCTCGCTCGAAACGGTATCGTTCCGCGCGTTTACACACGCGTTGAAAAATCAATGTTTACCGCGTGTAACGATCGTTATCGCGAGCGGGAACTCTCGAAAGAAATTGGCAAATAATTCGCGATCCCGAGGATAGCCGGATCCCATTGATCGATCGGCGAATCTATCGATCGATCGAGCGTGAAAGGCAGGAGGAAACCGGGGACGGAAAGATGGAAGATTAGCAAGCGGTTTTCCGTATTTTCGCGCGAAAGCCTGAAAGCGAACGCTCGGAGCGAGGACCGGAGCAAGCTTCGGAAATGACAAATGACGGGCAATTGATCTGTCGGGGTTTTACAGCGTTAAATCGGCCGCACGATTTGCATCGTGCTCGCGTATCCCGCGCTCGTTTGTCCGCCTTAATTATCGGTTCGCTTTAATTATCGCGCCCGATTAGCGTGGTCTGTCCGCGCGATTAGCGGCAGTCCGTGATTCGAGAAAAAGAAGCAGGGAAAAAGGAGACGGATCGTTCTCGATCGATCGGCAAACGTAATAGACGCTGCTTGATTTTCAGTGAAACCGTTGACGGCGACCATAAGGAGGCCAGGAAAAAAGGGAGTCGGGAACGAGTCTCTGTTGGCCGGGAAACGTTACGAGGTGGAATGCGAGACGACGGGCTCGAGGCCACCGGCGGTGATAACTTGGTACAAGGGACGGAGAAGACAGCTGAAACACACCACGGTGAGAAAATAAAAAAAAAAAAAAAGAAAGAAAAAATAACGAGTAATCGCGGTTAGAACCTTAGATTGTTTATCCCGTTTCGAAGATCTCGCGTGCACCCTTTGTTCCCGAGACAAAGCCCGGTTTCCATGGTATCTTCTTTTAGTCGAAACTTTTCTTTTTTTCCCTTTATCCTACATCGTCCTTCATTGTCGTCCTCGTCCTCATCCTCGTCCTCCTCGTCGTCGTCGTCGTCGTCGTCGTCGTCGTCGTCGTCGTCGTTGGCATGAAATAAACAAAGACGAGGCGCCGGTACGCCACTAATGCTTGCTTCGCTAAATTTCCTCGACAAAGTTTCCGTTGCTCGTAACGCGTATCCGGGCTGCGGTGGGACGGTGTCGGAAAGACAGGAAGGTTCGTCGTGCGCGAGGGTGAAATTAAGATGCCGCGGTCTAACTTCATCGGCTGGAAATTCGATTTCCTCGGGATAATTTCATAACGGCCGGATAATACGATATCGATAGTCGGTAGGACGCGGAGGGATGCCGACTAACTTATTAACGTCGTCGGCTGCCGAAAATATTCCCCCGTGCGTGCACCGCCGGCCCATTATTCGCGCAACCAGAGCCCGATAATCCGGCCCGCTATCGCTTTCTAATTATTAGCGCATCACCTTAACGAAATTTGTCGTGCTTCCGACGGAGGAACAAAAGGTAGCGCGCGGCATTTAATTAACAGCTAAGCTGCTTATTATAGCCGGCGCGTAGGGCTGGTACTCGTTAATTAACCTGGCCGCTCCTCGAGGGCTGGACGCTGCTACGATGAAATACGGTAACGCGTCCTGACACTAAGGTATTTCAATTTCACTTGCTCGAAAATTTAAATCGGAATGTCCGTATCCCGTGAATTACGCCTCGCTACTTCCGTCCTTCCGCTTAATGTCCTGCCACCGAGCTAATAGTCGGCCATGGCGATTAAAGACACTCGCTCCTCGTTCCCTCTGCAGCGCCGCGACTCTGCATATTATCGCGCGATACTCGCTACCAAACTACCGATTCGTGATAGTCGCGATTGAAAAGCGATCGTCCCGTTAACGAGCCCCGTCGAACCCCTAACGAGAAGTTTGCGGAGGATGCGCGGCTCGCGACGCGACAAAGGGTCCTCTCGGCGAAACAGTCGCTAAATCGCGCGACCTACTCGATGTCCCGCTGGTACCTCTGACCGGGCAGGGGGTTACGAGGAACGAGTATCGAGCTGTCTTTCGAAACAGCTCCGAGAGGGAAAGAAGAGAGGCAGCGAGAGAGCGGAAAAGCGAGATAGGAAACGGTTGAAAAGGTCGAAACGCTCCGGGGAACCGATAACTATACCCCTCGGCGGCGAATCTTTTCTCGGGAGAGATTCTCGGCTCGGAAACAGAGTCAAAGCGGTGGAAAGACCGGGACGCGAGACGAAGACGTCGCGCGGTAGAAACGGGGATGAAAACGGGGATGGAAACGAAAGGGTCCGAGCGAGGGTGGGAAAAGGAGGAAAAGGGAAACGACGGCACTCTGCTCGAACGGATTGGTTTCGCGGGTTCGAGTCGCGTCCGATTGCGCGAGGTCGGGAAGGGGGGCTGCAGTTGGAGCCGAGGAGACGGGGGTTGAAAGGTAGGACCGGTGCTTTCGAGGGGCACCGATTGAATTAAGCAACCACACCTGTCGACTCCAGATATTTTCATTGGCGGTATGCTAATTGGCCATTAAGCAACACCCATTTAACCGACTCTCGTTTCGCCCTCGTCGCGCGAGTCATGCTCGAGCGATCGCTGCACCCCCGATCTACGATTTCGCGCGGTTTCCGCGTACCTTGGGCCCAAGGGTTGAGCGAGACTCGGTTGAATAGAACGGTCGCGCGGATTCCGTCGAGTCTATTAATTTTTACGTTGCCGGTAATTCTTCGGGATAATATCTTCGATACGTTGGTCGACAATCGCAGGTGGCGAATGGCGTCGATAAAAGCAACCCGACGAATCCTGTGTGTCGCTCGTGTAGGTGCACAGTGGGGTCTAACGGTTCTTTTATTCGCTCGGAGAAACGGCAGTGGAGAGTTGTTACGAATGTAAAGGTTGTCCATTCCGTGTACACCCGTCTCGTTCCGTTTCGTTGAATCGAAGGACAACCGTTTCTATTACCTCGTGTGCACGGCGCGTTATTACGATTTTCCACTGCGTCGCGTGCTCTTGCTTTTTAAATACGCGAGAATGGAATGAAACTAAAATTATTCCGGCACGCTCGCCCGTTCCGGGCTGCACGCTTTTATTTCGCGTGGCTGCGTCGGCGTTGATTAAATTTACGAAATTCTAAACCCTATCGCCGACGAGTTGTTGAAATTTTGATCGAATCCGTCGATCACCGGTGACTGACACGGCGTTCAACGCGTTAACGTTACACGCGTAATTCGACGTGGCGGAAAAAGGGAAAAAATTCGAGATTCAAGGCGGAGTAGTCGAACGAGTCGAACGGCGGCGTTGCGTGCTGCGGAACGCGATGGAAATTACGATAGCGGCGGGTACCAACGCCGTTGTTGCAACCGAGAAACGAATGGCGCGCTTACGAAGGATTTATTCCGTAGCCGAACGAAGGATTTCCGAAATCGATCGGAAAAGTAACGAACGGCCGAGTAATTCGTTTCGCCTTTTGGTGGACTCGATACGGCGAAAGAGCATCGGGAACTCTGGATCCCGAGCAGCGATGCTCGACGTTGTTTCCGATAACCGAGCTGCGAAGAGCATCGTTATTGGCTGCGAAATGAACCTGCCAAGATACATTCGGTATACGGCACGTTCGGCAGACGCGAAGGGTTGGCAACCCTTTGTTCTCGAGGTTGTTGCGCCATTACGACGCGCATACGTGTCTTCGAGAGGGACGAGGGAAACGTCGAAATCGTTAGAGCGAATCGCAGCGACGGATTTTAACGAGAATTCTTCGCGGATCGGGAACAAGCGGAAAGCTGCACCAGCCATTTTTCCTTCGCGAGGAGAGGCGAAATAGTCACGGGATAGGGGCGAAAAGAACGCGCGGAACGTGGAAGCGAACCGTCTTAGGAACGCCGGAAATAGAGATAACCTCTGGCAAGGCGGAGGTATTTAGCGGAACCGTGAATCTGACCGGCGAAATGGAACGTCGATGAAGAGAAAGACTCTGACGCGAAGCCGCGCATTCCAACGGCACTTTCAAAAGCCATAACTAGGAGTTTCGGGGAAACTGCGGCCCGCGTTACGAAGTTAGAATCCCTTTTAGGTTGTTCCGAAAGCAGAGCGCGAAAATCGGCGTCTAGGGCGACGGGGGTATTCGATCCTCGCCGATAATGTATGCGCGCCGGTGGGATAGGTCGGGAAGCGGGTTCCCAGCGACTGGCAGCAGTGCTGCGAGAGTTAAGCTTCTTCTCAGCCGCTTCTCTCCGCGCGTCCAGTCCACGAGCAATCTTCTTCGCGTTCTCCCGTATTTGCGTTCGCGTAGGTGAAACGCGGAGCAAGTTGGGACGGAACTCTCCGCGGGGAGGATTTGTCTTTAGAGAAACGATCGACAGGAGCGTAATCCGCGGCTGTTAAAGCGGTTCCGGGGTGAAATATTTCCGTGGGGAAGCGTGACAAGGTAAGTGCGGCGAAGCCAGAAGGGAGGGGTGTTAAGGGGGCAAGATCGAATTCGCGCGAGGACTCGTCGATTCGTAATCTCGTCGCCGTCCGAGTTAATCTAGCGTTCGGTCGGGCGAACAGATACGCCGGCACCTAAATCACGACGGTTAGGCACCGGCCCGAGGCGGTCGCATTATCGATAATCCGGAATCACAGATGTAACGTTGGGCGCACGTGTGTACGCCGGGCGTCGCTGCGCCGTTGTCTTCGGCACGTTGACGCGCGACCCTAATTAATTTCGCGTTGTTCATTAACAAGCCCTGGCCGCAGCGCTTAACGACGCCTCGGCGTATCCACGGCGGATCCACGCCGGATATATCCTCGTCCGTTCTCGCACCTGCTCTCCCTCTCTCTCTCTCTCTCTCTCTCTCTCTCTGTCTCTCCATTCGTTTCCACGGCCTGCGAACGGACCCGCGCTGATTAACGGAGTAAACGACAGCCGCCGATGGAATCTCGGCTGAATTCTAATTCGCGCAAAACACCCGTGTCCGTGACGACTCGCCGCGACGGCCATCCAGCGGCTCCTTCGCTCAACTTTTATGCGGCGAAATTAAAATTCTTTGACGAGCCGTGGACCGGATACGTGTGAAGATTCGCCGATGAGACAACGCCTTGCCGCGCGCATCGAATATTCAGGGAACGCGGAGAATTTTAATGAGTCCTCCGTCGCCTTCGCGACATCCGCCGCTAGTCGACACGTAAAATCTCGCGACGAGAGTCATCCGCGAACGCCGAATATCCGAACGCGGGTGGGTTCTCGGGGTCGGTAGCGAGAGGTAGCGCTGTTCGCCCCTGCTGATCCAACTTTGCCCGGGTTCGCAGTGCTCGCAGCACCCGTTAGGGAAGACGTAGCAGGACGATTCTCGGGTGACAGAGGTCGAGGGTGGTAGGAACGGGAAACGTAGGAACGTTAGAGGAGCCGAACGAGCAGGACGATAAGGACACGTCGCTGCTCGTTTGCGCGGTGACATAGCGTCGACGTGGAAGGTGGCGACGCGTCTCTTTAAAATTCTCGGTGGCGCCACCTCTAAGCGATGGATAATAAAATATAGCCTCGTAACGTGGCTTTAGAGGGCGAGAGCTCGAGAACGAGAGAGAGAGAGAGAGAGAGATAGAGAGTAGCGACGCTGGCTGTTGGAAAGGAATTCCGTGAAAGAAAAGGGGGTGGAAGGTTAGCGCGATGGTCGTAGGGGTGGAAGGAAGAGCCAAGGAGAGATATTAACGTAAGCAGATCCTATAAGCGGCGGAACACGTAGACCGCTTCTATTGCATTACCATCCTGATTATCCCATAGTCATTCAGGCTGTCTTTACCCGTTCGCCACGCGTTTCGTATTACGTGGCTTCACGACCACGGCAAGCGTTTCGTTAGCGGCGCGGAAGCTCCGAGAAAACTGCGATAGAGCCGCGTGTAATCGCGCGATATATCATCTTTATTTCCCGTTCGCTCGAAACGCCAGCGCATCGGTGCACTTAAGAGCGTATAAATATTTCTAAATGAAATTCCGCCACGCCTCCATCTCTCTCTCTCTCTCTCTCTCTCGTTGGCTCCTTCTTTCGCCTTTTATCCTCCTTTTCTCTCCTTTTCCCTTGCAGTCGCCGGGCGAGAACGTTCGCGCGAGGAAAATTAGACGAGCGCGGGAAAAAGTGTAATTCCGGCGGTCGGATAACGGGGATTCCTGTGTTACGCGCGGAAAAGAAAGCGTCTTTTCCGCGGGGCGAGAGAGAACTGCTGCTGGCGGCGGAAAGCGGAGGGAGAACGCGTGCAGCCGGAGGAAAGTTTCGGTTGCGACCCCTTAACGTGCTTCCGCGCCGGCCCGAGTATCAGTTGACACGCTTTGAAACGAAATTCCCGGTCGAAGTAGCGGCCGGCTTTTTCTCCCGACGACCAGCGGAAAATAAATAGAAAAACGCGACGACGACGACGACGACGGTGGAGTCTCGCGCGCGTCAGAAGCTGCCGGGAAAATTCACGCTCGGTGGAATCCGGCGGCGGTCTTTAGAAAGGATTCCACGGCGTTAGCAGCAGGACTCGGGTCCTTTCGAGTCTGGGCTAACAGGAATGAATTTCCAGCAGATGTTGCCAGCGTTGCTTACGGTCCGCCTCTCGACCTTAATATAACCAAAATTAACCATACCGAGTTGCCGTCGAACTCGTTTCCCTATCTTTTTCCCCTTTTTATCTTTTACCCTCGTTCTCGTTCCTCGCCATCTTGCGCCGCGGAATTGAACCGAGCGATGCCGCTCCAAACGGAATTCGCGATACCCGCTAAAATTATTATTTTCCGAAATTACGCTCTCCCCGGCAAAAGGGCACCGCGCGGACAAAAAACCGGACAGTTTTTACCGCGCCGAGGTACGGACGAGATACGAAGCTCGTTAGGGGGAACGACGCGACGAGGGAAAATTCTTGCGCGCGTAAGAATTTTCAAAAGTCCGTGGAAACGTTCGACGAGATCGAAAAGTTTCTTCTCGAGGGAGGAAGCGAGATAATCTCGCGTACCGGGACCCGAATCTTCTTTTCTTCGCGAGGGAAATGATTCGAGGGAATTTATCATCCTCGCGAGTGTCGTGTCCTGTCGTGTAACTTGCTCGACGTCTTTCTTAACCCCGCACCTACACCACGACCGGTCGAATGACCGATTACGTTCATTGCATCCGTGTCCAAAAGAAAAATCGCCGAGTCGAGCGATCGTTAACCGAAAGTTTAAATCCCCGACTACTGGACTCTCGCGTGGCATCTCGATGCGAGACTAATTTTCCAGATACGTAACAGGGGCATGTACTTGTTACCACGTAAATGCCACACTGGTCCCTAGACTCTTTCCGTTCAGGCCACGCCGGTCCGTACGGCCCGGAGGGGCCCGCATGACGGCTAACGGTGGCGTGAACGGAACGACGCGTAAAACCGGCGTGACGTTTAACGCGTTAATCTTGGACCATTTAGCCTGTAAAGAATTGGCGTAACTTTGAACGATCTGTGACGCAGGAGGAGCGATCGGAGAATCGGACGGTGAGCATGGTGGAGTTCGAGCCGGGGGTGGAGGATCACGGGAAATCGATCACCTGTAGGGCCGAAAATCCCAACGTGACGGGACTTTTTGTGGAGAAATCCTGGAAAATCGACGTGGTCTGTAAGTACACGATAAATATATATTCTATCGCTCTTTCCGCGGAGACCCGGATTCCTTTCGTACCCCGACCTTTTACGAGCGTACGTGACGTTAAATGCATATTCGATGATTCCGGAACTTATTCCTCGTCCAACCGACGCGCCTTAATGTATGCATACGCGTCGCGCGAGCGCCGTAAAAAAATGGAGCATCGCCATCGGGTTCGCGTATCCCTGCTCTCGTCTCCTATCCAAGCGTATCGCGAAATCGGCCGATTTACGAGCTTTTTTACGTCGAAAGCACGCCTCTCTCCGACAGCGTGCCCCTTTCTTTCTACCCCCCCGTCGTCTTCCTCGCCACCCTTCCGCCCCCTCGCAGCCCCCGTTTTTACAGCCGCAATAAAACGGCCTCCGCTGGATTTCCACCGAATTACAGCCGAAATTCAGCGAGGCCGATCGTTGGTGAACCTCCGCGAAATCGTTCGCCGGTCTAGTTGATCGTAAAACAAAAAAGGAAGAGGAAGATATACGCGACATATAGGGACGGACAGCTCGTAAAGAGGAGAAGGGTGCCGTGGATGGATTCGCTCGTTCCGGTCGATCCGCGAGCATCCGCGCTCCCTTTCTTTATACCCTTCCGGTATTCCGTCATCCCCGTGTTCGTTCCCGTTTCGCGCCCCTGTGGACTACCCTCCGCCACCCCACTTGTCGTCGACGGATCGTCGAATCCGTGGAATCGGTTAAAAACCCGGCCGAGTTCCTTCTCCGCGGGACAGCAGATCCGTTTGCCTCGTGAAACCCGCCGATCGAAGATCACGCGACCGTGAATCCCCTTTTTACGAGATTATTTTCATTCCTCGCGTGGGGCACACCTGCGACGCGATAACCAGCTTCGGGGGAACGTCGCGGGGGTTCGTTATATATTTATTCGCGAACCTTCGCGGCAGCTTCTCTGCCAGCTTTGAATTCACCTTTCGCGCTTCCGGGAAATAAATTAATCGCGCAAAGTGGGTGGGACGACTGGAGGAGGGGGGGAGGGAGGGAAAAGTTGAAAAAAATGTGCCAGTTCCGGCGAAGAAATTTCGATACGCGGGAGCTTCGCAGTTTCGTGCTTGTTAACTTCTCGTTAAGATTTTCGAAACTCCCGAGACGTTGCTGTTCGATCGGGAGGGAACTGGAGACCGTTACGAACTCGCCAAGCTTTTTCTATTTCTTGCGATTAATTATTTGGAAGCTCGGCCAGGCGAGGACGGAAGAGATTGCACTCGCGTCCGTTCGTTGGAAGATTAGCGAGCCTGCTGTCGAACGTTGTTTCGCGAGGGATGATACAGGTGTATCGGCCACGGGAAAGAAATATCCCCGAGAGGGACAGGGATGGGCAGGGAAAAAGGTGAAAAATCGCGAGAGGAGGAGAAATAACGTCACGTCGTGTATCCAATTACGTTGACCGTCGAGCAACGTCGTCGAAATTACGCATTACCTTGGGAGTCCGTCCAGACTTTTTCGTGCTCCGCCTTCGTTCCCGTCTATACACAGTCTCACACACACACACACACACGCACACATAGAGGAGCTCTCGATCCGCGAGAAACGAGGAAGAAAATGAAAAGGGAGGACGGTGGGTGGAATTTATTGCAATGCCAGACGAGGAGTCCGCCGGTGGCGTGGTGGAGCAGGGTGAAAAACAAGGGACAGAAGTAGCGGAAGGATGCAACGAAGGTTCGAGAGTTAAAAAGCAGCAGGGTTGGGCTTGAGGCTGCCAAGGGAGGAAACGGCGGATAGACGCGATCGAGCTAATTAATACTATCTCGAAAGAGCTGTACACAGCGATGCGGTGCACGAGGGAAAAGAAGAGCCACCGGAAAGGAGGGAATTTATCGTGGCGCGCGATAAAATCCTGCGAGAACGCCCGAAGAATAAACTCCCCGGCGAGGGAGCGGGCTAAGAGAAACTGGTATGATTAAACTAATGAAGACGGTAAACGAGAGATGCGAAGCAACGAAGGAAACAGCGGAATTTTTCGGGCACGTTACAACGACGGACGAAAAATCGCGCGTCTGGCGGAACTTGGCCGAGCTGGAGGTCGAAGGTCTGATCGTGATGAGACCGGGACTCAGGTCGGAGGGAATGGTAGGAAAAAATGAGGCGAATAAGCATGCGCGGTGAGCCGAGAGCTTTTTCCTTCTTGTAATTCACCGGCAACTTTGTTCCCGACATCGGGCCAGCGTACGTGGCGAGTATTTTGGATTAAGATAATCCCCTGACATCGAGACGGTCGTATATCACGGGTAAAGAAGCTTCGCGGTCAGGTAGAGGTAGAACTCGCGAATCTGAGAGGAAGAAAAATATTTCCTATCGGAACCGTGGACACGAGGTCGCGTAGCGTTGGTGGTGGTGGTGGTGGTTGTTGTCGCGGCGATGCGGATGAAACGAGAGAGCATGCCTTAAGCTGGTATCGAGTTGATGAAATTCTACGAGGGTGGAGCCTACCGTGACGATAAAGCGTATCCAAGCCCTTCATCGTACTCCGACCTTAGGAGAAAAAATACTAAAAGCCAGACAGCGATACCCCGCTCCGCGTGACCCTGTCATCCGGTATCGGACAAAATCGTTCGCGATTATTAACCTGGTCTTCGCACGAACGGTGTATCGACTTTTGCCTCCGACCATTTCATCGAGCTTCCCGACCTTTTTCCCCTTCGCCCTAATCGCTCCGAGCGAAATCTGATTACAGATCCTCCAATCGTGTCGCTGAACCTTGGATCGACGCTGAGTCCGGAGGACATCAAGGAGGGCGACGACGTCTACTTCGAGTGTCACATCAGGGCTAATCCTCCCTGGTCGAAGCTGACGTGGATACACGACGTACGTATGATCCCGTCAATTAAATCGCTTATTCGAACCGGGCGTATTTCCACGAACATCTTTTACCGCCGACGCATGACGTACCCGCGTCAGGTGTAGCTCGAGCAAGTTTTTACTCTTTGGAATACGGTATTTCGTGCTCCGTGGTCGCTCTATTATGACGCTATTAAAGTCCGTGTATCTGTTAAAGCACAGCCTCGCGGCGCTGCAAAAATTCTCGTACACTTAGCGTGTCGGAATGGCGGAAACATAATACGCCAGCTTGGAGAGAAATCTCTGGCGGGCAAAAAGGGCAGGAGCGTGCGTGCCTAAATTCACGAGCGAGCAACGTTACAGGTAATTTACGCGGCAACGTCCGCGAACGTAAAGAGAGACTCCTCGCGGGAGATACGTTGGCTGCGCCAACCCAAGTCTTATCCCGTATAATGGGGCTCGTATATTTTACCGGGTAAAACTTTGAATCCTTTATTTGCATAATATATGAGATCGTTCGACAGGCTCGATCTAGTGCAACACCGTTAGAACGCGAGGACTTAAAGCGCCGCTCCGCACCGTGCCGCACCGTACCGCACTCTTCCGCAGCGAGCCGCGAAACACGCTTCGCTGAAAGCCGATCATCTCGCGGATTTATGGCGCCAAGCGATAAAAGACTTTCAACCTTCTCCTTGCCCTTCCATCTTCCCCTTCCTCCGCCGCTACACCCGGAATTACGTTTCTTAGCTCCGGCGTCGGGTTCCTACATTTTTCTCTCGCTTAAGCGACGCTACGTTAATTTCCCAGTGAAACGAGCTCAGCCAAGATAGTCGAATTCCCGTTTTTTCCTCGACACTGATTTTTCATCGAGAGACGGAGCGTCGAGTCGACCTTGTCGTCCATAGTCACTAACGAGTCAACGGGTGCCTCTTGTCATCTTTTCAAACCTTTTCCTATTACGTCCTTACCTGCAAACCCCAAATCCGAGACAAGTCATCCGAAACAAATCAAACTCCATCGACAGTCAATCCTGTGTCAACCAATATTCCCCCAAGACGTACCCCTTCCCTGACACACAGTCCCGCGTACATATATCCGCACGAGGACAGTAATAAATTCTGCTCAGTGTAACTTCACGATGTTATACCTACTCGAGACCTTCCATAGCTGTACATAGCTATCCGCGTTAGTCTCTATTCGAGACTTGACCGATCGTCGTATGTAATTGTCCCGTGACACACGCGTCGATGGCGACTCTGTCCTCTCCGATTTCTCCGAAATCGGAGAAAGTTTCCTAAGGATTCGGCTTCGATTTCGCAAGGGAGAAGGTTTAATCCGGGATGCGTACGGGATTCGTGTGTGTTTCGGAACTCGTTCGGGGAACACGAGTCGAAGTTGGCGAAAGAGAGTGTCGCCACGCGGCCGGGGGGGCAAAGAAGCCCGAAAAGTCGGATTTCTCTGCGAGAGAGAACTTAGCGCGAGGACGAGCAAAGATACGAGCTCCCGAGTCGCTCTCCTCTCCTCTTTTTTCTCGTTTGCGTTAATCCAGCCTCTTCCCGTTCTCGTTCGCCTCGTTCTTTGCGTTTAGTCGGAGGATCTTTCGGTGGATACGTGTCGTAGTTCGGGAAGAGTGCCCCGGAAAGAAGACGGGCTAACGGTAGCCCGGTAGCAGCTGCTACGGCATAAGAGATTTCCGTCGAAATTGCATCTTAAAAATATGATTTGACTTCATTCTAGGGGAGCAGTCGACTGCCGTAACCCAGCCGTCCCCGCCACCCATCTTCGCGCTCCTTTCTCTCGCGTCCTGTCATCCACTTCCCTCCGACGTTCCATCCTGAATTTCGCCCCGTACGGATCCGGTTCTCGGTCAGCTCGCGGCGTTCAGAGCGTGATAAGCGAATCGCGTAGAATAAAACGCTCGTTAGTCCAACCTTGTCGATCATCCACGTATAAGTCTTCGAAGTCTTCGTGGTCGTGAAAGGTCGAGCGAGTTGGTCCCGAATCGCTTGCCGATGGATCGAATAGCCAACTAGCGCCACGCGCAGCTTCCTTTCGACACGAACGGTCCTTTTCGCTCGATTAGAAGGGTTTGCCTAGGAATTACAAGAACCCATCGGCACGTCCTATCTGCCAATCAATCCCAAGGTAGCAATCGAGTCGGGATTCCGAACTGTCGGTCTTAAAAAAACGCTTGGAGCCATTGCCAGCAGCAGTAACCTTTTGAATGGCGATCGTAAAGACGAAGGAAGACCGGGTGACGGAAGGAGGACGCGGTTCGAATAGGGAGAAAGAGCGGGAAAGGGATAGAGCTGTGGAATATCGGTTGTAGGGAAAGAGGATGGGTCGGAGGGGAGCGGAGGCGATGGAGAAAGCGAAGTGGAAGGGAGAAAAAAAAAACGAGGAAGGCAGAGATAGCCGCTATAATGGGGTACAGTGATTAGGCTGGCTGGTACCATTCACCGGGACAATAGAGACGTTCTGTAGCTACGCGAAGTATCGACGAGCCAATCGGCCGTTCGGGCAAAGACGCTGAAAGATTTTCCCGACTCTTCATCTTTCTCGGCAAAGTGGATTGACCGACTAGACAACCGGAAGAACCCTATTAATGTCCTCCTCGTCCACCGTAAGTACGAGGGGAGAGATCAAATACTTTTTGCCGGAGTAGCTGCCGGTAATCTTGACACCGTCACCGATATATCGGCCGACAGACGGTTCGCCGCTACTTTCGCCGGACTTTCTTTCGAAAATTCGCCGTTGCTCGATGGCGACGTAGGTCGATACGAGATCGAAACGAAGCGAAGCAACGCGACGCGACGTCTCGAGCGGATCCCATCGGTGACGTCTTCCAGACTAGGCACGAGTCCCCGCGATGATCGCGCAGCCACGCCTTCGGTTCGGGATATCAACCCAAGTGGAGGAACTCGCGAGGCGAACTAGACTTTAAATTTCACGCGGTTGGACCGTTATTTGATTTTCAAATGGACGTTATTGCAGCTGTACACCGATCAGTCGTAGGAACGAGGCAAGGGTAATGGGCTTTCTCGCAATGAATCGGTCGAGTGCATTTCCCTCTCGCGCGAGATTCGATCCGACAAGTTCGGGACTTAATGCGGAGAACTGGCTGGAAGGAATCGGGCAAGGGGTTGCGAGTGCGGAAATAGGCTGCCGTCGGATTCGACAGGCCGTACATCGATCAATTTCACCGGCCTCGCGATCCAACAGTCACGCCGGAATTCCGCTCCGAGCCGCCGCGCCTTCGTCCGAGGCGAGAAGCACCTTTTCTTCCCGTCGATCACGATCCCGCTTCGCCCTATCCGCGCAGATACGCGTCCCGCTCGAAATCGAACCGGGATACCGGTCGCACGACGCGACCGAATTCTTCTCGCGAATCCGTCTTTGTCCCTCCTCGCGACGAGTCTGCGGAGTTCGTTATCCTACGCTCGTCGAGAGGACAACGGGGAGAACGAGCACAAGGGGCGCAGGAGTCTCTGGATTCTTCGGCGCAGCTTAATACTCCGAAGCCGATCAAGGATGGAAACTCAAAGAGACATCGAACAATCGGCTAAATTAGAAAATTTCCGAGCGACTCGGGAATTCGAGCAGCGACGGACTCGAAAGTTCCGCGACGACCAGACTACGGCAACGGCAACGAAGAAGAATCGAAAACGTAATCAAAGATAACGAGGGAACTTTTCCGCTACGCGGAACGGTTTACGGCATTTACAGCAGGCTCGCCGGACGTCGAAGGCATGGCAAGTGGAAGGAAAAATGGGAAGAGGTCTTGAAAACAGCCTCGTTTTCCTCGCAATGCTTCATCCTCGCCGGGCTGAGCGCGTATCTACCTACCAGCCGTAGGTCGTCTCGAGAGTGCGCCAAACTCGAATATCTCTAGATCATCATCGACGACGACGTTAGGATTGCCAAGGCGGAAGGGGGGAGAAAAATCTGTTCGGGTAAATTGAAGGCGACTGAGAGACGGGCATTCCTCCGGATCGCGGTGAAAAAGGTATGCCGAGGAACTCGGAGGCTAATGAAGCCCGGGCAACTCCGGCCCGCACGCGATCTTCTCTGCCATTGATAAATCGCCTTGAAACAAAACCGAGGACGGAAGAGGGCCGGAGAGGGCTGTAGAGGGCGCGTCGCCGACGCAACAATTTTTCTGCCGAAAATACCGCGACAATACCACCGATATAATCGCGATGAAAAATTTTCGGGCAATCCTCGCGCTACGAGCTACGAAATCCTGGCCACAAATCTTTCGGAGGGGCGCCGCGGCCCGGCTCGGGGGCAGCAAAGAGCATTTTTTCTCCCAAGGAAGGAAGCTTCCTCGGCGTGGTGGATGCGGAGGAAACGAGAGTAGGGTCGAACGCGACGTCTCTCGTCCTAGAAGCGTCGAAATTTACGAGCGTTCGCCGCGAACGCGTTAAAACGAGACTGGAGACGAAACGAGCGGGCGTTGGGAATTTAATGGGACGAGAAAGCCTGGCGACCCAATTTCTCCAGGGGAAAAAGAAAATTCGGCAAAGGAGCGTCGTTCGACACCTATACGCGCACCCCAGGCGACCGTGCCCACGCTGGATTAAAATATGTCTCCCGGTAAAGAGACACGCGACACGTGGCTGGGAAAATAAGTCGCATTTTATCGACGGCACGGCACGTCTGCGACGCGTCCTGCTGGTATAAAACGCGAGAGGAAAAGGAAAAATTAGAGGCGAGAGAAAAGACGAGACGCGCGTGTGCGCGCGATTCCAGACCGGAAATGCCGCTACCGTGCAACTTATTCGACCGGCATACTAGCTACCTCGACTCTTTAAACCTCGACTCGTTCAATGCTCTCGGCTTCTTCTCTCTGCCGCGTCTCGAGTAGTAGGTATGCTCGCCGACTCGTTCGCCGACACATTAGTACGTGTACAGAGCGATTCGCGAAAATACAACTGTTCGAAGAGAACCCTCTCCCTTTCTCGCGCTCCTCTCTTTCCGGGAACGATCCACGTCCGCGATAATGGCTTCCTTTAATGCAGCGGAAA